CATATAATAATGTCTGGTATTTTTTATGTCTTTCTGGCGATTGTGATATTAGTGAAAGCATCGAATGGTAAGTGGTTGTTTTATTACCTTTAATTTACATCCTCTAAATCAAGCACCTGTTGTTTTTTATTTACTTATTTATATTTATTTGCAAATTGATATACTAATACAAGGTAATTACGTCCTTTGTGATAACTCTCTTTATTACATTGCATATTGCATATTACATTAATAGCTAAATCCACTACCGTTCTTGTCTAGTGAAAACCCAATTTCTTTTTATAATTGTTTTTTTCTACATAGACTCTCGATTAGGATTACAGTTACACGTATAGGTAGCATTTAAATCTTGGGTATTCTCAAAGTGTAAATAAAAAGTGTGGCTAACTCCTACGATGTTTTTCTAAAGTTGAACAACGTTTTTTTTTAATAGAAATAGTTTTGGTATGGAAAGAAAAAAAATAAAAATGTACGAAAAAAACACTGTTATCTATTAACATATACGTCGATTTTTTAAATATCTGATTTAAATAATTCATCATCGTCAGACTCTGTTGAAGAGACACTAAGACTACAGAAAAATAAAATGCTAGATTTCCATTCTCAATTTTATTTGTTTTGTTTTGTTATGAATTATTATATTCCTTATGATTTTTAACTTATCAAATTCATAATCGGATTTTTCAAATCGGGGGAGAACAACCCGATCTGTTATAAAAGACTTTCTCTCGAATACAAAAACACTGATCGTTTTAGTTGATGTAAATCAAATTGAGACTGCTTTCGTCTCGCTGAAATGTTTTTTTGTTTTCTTTCTGCTTGTTGTTTTATCTAAGTTATTGATGAGTGCTTTCATTATAAATCGGTGCAAACAACGTGACATCTTTTATCTGAATAGTTTCTAGAATACCGACTTGACCATGATATTGTTTATCTTATCTACTGAAAGGGCCAATAGTTGTCCCAACTTAACTGACAATCGGGTTTTAAGATATTTCGGGAATCATTTGACTGAGTATGTTACGATTTCGATAATTCTCTAGCATGAACATGGGTGAGTTTAGTATTTTCAAAGCATCAACAGTGACTCCTGATCCGAGACTGGTACAGTTGTCTTTTTCTGTTTTAAATATTATAGGTTATGAAAAAGATTTCAAATAGCTGCTAAAATCTCACATATGACGGATACCTGCCATTTACATTTCTATAGCACTGCGCTGCGACTTATACTTTGCTTGGCGCATTTTCCCATGCGTTTCAAGATTATCATCTGAATGAACTTTTTACTGATTTTGCTAAACTACAATAAGGACAGACACATATTTATTAAATATCTTTTGTATAGTTAGAAAAGCTAAATTTACAGATTTGGAACACAAACACGCAAAAAGCATCATGTCTCTGTGCATATTACATATATTCATAAAAAAATAGAAGATATTGTAATCTCATTTTGTTGTCATTGTAAACTTATCTTGCTTAGCATCTATGTCAGTCAGAATTTCAAGACCTTCTTCATCTACAAGCTAGTCTAATATTTAACGTGGATAAAGATGCGCTGGAAATTTAAGAATAAATGTACTCTAAAAGTTGGAATTTTACTACAACGTCGATCTTTTCAAATACAAAATGGCAAATTTTCAGTCACACAAACACCAAATAAGTTTAAGAAAAACCATTCATTCATTCTATAATTAAAGAGCCGCCTTTGTTCTCAATTATTTTAAGGACAAGCGATACAGAAGCAATCGCAAGGTTAAATTTTCTTAAAATTGTACAATAGAGTGCTTTTAGACATTGTTCATGTCAACACAAAGTTTATCTGGAAAATTAGTTCGTTGATTAAAAGGGATAAAATGTGCAAAGGTACACCAGGCGAGTAGACATTGTAAGAAAAATAAAATACTATTTCAGTCTGTTAAAGAGAATTTGTGAATACAAAAGTATTATCTTGACAATGAAGGATCCGGGGACTTTTAATTACTGTTTACTACTTGCATTTTTAAAGGCGTGGGTGTATTTATAAGAAGAAATTATTAAATGATAATTGTAATTCGTTCATTTATTTCATTTCCATAATGGATGAAGGACCCTGATTATCCATGGCAGCAATTCCTGACCTGATACAGACTCTACCAGACACTATTCATTTCCTTCGTCATTTGATCATATACCTGGTAGTACCAGCTAGACCACAGACGAATACATAGTTTACAATCAGGACAAGAATTATAGGCAATGATGTACACTTTTGGAAGTGGAGAGAAGTGTTCACTTCTTTCGCATATCTTTCAGTGACGTTACAGGTGAAACTACTGAAATATTACTTCAAATTGTAACCGATGTTGATGGTCTCTTCAGAGAGAAAATCGATCGAAACCATATGATTTCCCCGTGAAACCGAGTACTTCTTTTTATATCATGGTTACGATAGCACATGCTATTTGACGTAAGTGTTTCGACTTTCAAAGATGAAATACATACATGTATAACTATTTTCAAAGAAACATATAGCCGTCTTATTAGTTAGCCCTTTTTAGATTAATCACATAACTTATAAAGTGGGTGGCAAAAACTTCCGTTTTAAGTAAGGAATACTAACGGAACTTCGATAAAATGTATCGGCCGATAATAGGACCAAAGTCTTATTCAGGAAAAAGACATTGTAAATGCATTTACACTCAAGTTGTAATATAGATCGAAGGCAGGGTAGGTTATGTTGAGCGAGGATATATCGGACTTCAAACGATGCTGAGCAATATGTCTTGATGAGAAATATTGTACAAGAACTATCTTTCTTGGCATAGCTGTTTTTGCCGGGCGAAACAATAAATCTGAACAGACATCAGTATAGACAACGTATACAAGACAAAAGATTGTTCGACAACCCAAGAATATGCAGAGAAAGTGAAGAAAATTAAATAGGCTATTTATACACTATAGAGTATATGTTGAACACGTCATCGGAGAATAAAAAAAAGTTACGAGGATTTGTTGCAAAATTCAAGACAACGAATAAAATATGTTGCGACTTAATGCGCTGCATGTGTGTGTCGTCGACTTATTTACATAATAAAAATTCATTTGGTTTAACTATGTATCTCTATTATTTTTTTTATATTTTGAGATAATCCCTTGTTTTTCCTCAACTGTGATCGTATGTCTTAGTGTAACCCAGGTATAGATCTAGTTTCCGCAAATGTCTATAGTACTTTTTGATTCTATTTATAATTTGTATATGATTGTTATTGAACGATATCAACACAGTGAAAAATGACACATAATTTGGGTTAATCTGATCTCGATCTGGAACAAACTGGCGCGTTGCGAGGAATGCAATAGACGATTTATTTACTATACTGAACACTCTCTCACATATAAACCGGGTTTGTTTACTTGGAATTTGTATTCATTATGTATAGCAGAACTGATAATAATAATAGAGCGGTAAATTTATGTGACGCATTCCAGTGCAAATATCTATAAAAAAAAACAATTTACGTCATTTTGATATTTCTTTGCTGTCGGTTTATTTAAACTACAAATTCCATAATTTCATTGTTACCATTATTATTGTAGACGACCCTCTCTGCATAAGTCACTTTAGTGAACATATATATATCTTTACATTGATGATGCATTAACCCTGTTATCAGATCTTTCCCGATGAAGCTGGCACTTTACTTGTTTGATTTAATCTCTTATATTCTTTGGTTTTAAGATGACAGTATTTGGATTCTCTTGGTGCTATAGAAACTATTGTTTAAAGTCGTTTTTGTCGTTATCGGATCCTCCAGTGCAGGTTGAGCCTTGTACGGTTCCATGGACTTATATTATCAACAATTTTTGTATTTTATTGATTTTTAACTACATACACTAACACCTTGCGTTCCAAAATAAAAACAAGAATTTAAAACTAGAGGCTCTTGAAAGCATGTGTCATTATGTAGGTCTATGTGCATAAACAATGGACTCTCTCCAACATTGTAAAGCAAGATGAGAATTCATGACAAAAATCTGTTTAGTTGACCATGTATTGCTGATCATTTTGTCTGTTTAGTTTCTCTCTATCTTTTTTAGTTTTTATTCAAAACACAAAAGAGGGTAAACAATCGTCATCTAAGGGCAATCATTCATATGAAGAGTGACAGTCTACTAACTTAATCGGCAACATTTGACTTGTATGTGATTCTTGCCTAGCTGATACTTTTTTGTTACTTAAAGTTTCTTTTGATCATAATTGGTATCATTTAAGGCAAAACACAAACATATTGGTAAAAAACGTCCTAAGAGGGCACAAACTCCAATAAAGAATCGTTGTAAAATTTCCTCCATATTGTCATAAGGTTCTATCTTTCTATTATAACGTTTAGTATTAAAGGCAAAAATGCAAATGCAAAAAAAAAAAATGGTAGAAATCGTCATCCAAATGCAATAACTCTAATAATGAGTTGACTGACGATAATTGTTGCTGAGTTTGTTTAAATTTGGTTCAGTAATTTCAGAAAAGATCTGTATAAAAGTTAATGACGACGACGACGACGGACGACGGACGCCAAGTGACACTTTTATCTCACTTGACCCTTTTGCCCAGGTGAGCTAAAAATGGATAGCACAAGAGACTACACAGCAAGAAAAATATGACTCCTTCGAAAAGAACACACTTGAAAAGAAAAAAAATGACCAACATAGGGTCTAGATAACCAGACTGAACTGGTACAGCCCCCAACCCCTTTGTGCTTGTTTAAGTTTACCCTAGGTGACAGAAGGTTCAACCTAACTAAAATAATATAAAATAAGATGGGTTTATTTGGTATAACGCTTCTATTTTTTTTTTCCTGTCTTTTTTCGTATTTCTTTAAATACAGTACTGTAATGATAAAATCACAGCTTTTTCAATCCACACACTACGTTATTATTAACATAGCTTCATATTCCGAAAACAATGAACTTAAATATTTCTTTTGAACTTGTTTTAAAAAAATAGAAATATGCTAAAGAATAGGACTATAGTTTTACTTTGAATAAAATAAAGATATATCATTTGTTAGAAAATATAAAATAAGAAATAATCAGATACATGTAAGCCAATATAATACATCATATAAATAAGAGCCAACTTTATGTAAATGCTAATTGTAACATAATTCTATGTACTCGGTGGTTGCATTTCTATATTATTGGAGGCGGTTGAGCCTGTCCTCTTTTTCCATATTATATAACCAAACAATAGTAGTACAACAACTCCCAATATTCCGACAACAGCATATAGTATATTTGTTGAATCTAAAATAACAATGAAATACTATTAACATAAAAAGCTCTTCAATGTATTACCGTTCTACTTTTTTCTTTTTTTCAACTTTGTTTAAAAATTATGGATAGATAAGAAATATGAATAATTGATAAATGAATGTTGGTATTTCAGGAATGAAGTTTCGTGAACAGATGCCACATGTCTAGGAAAACGGTCATAGTTTGAATTATCAGACAAGATCTTGTCATTATGTTAACAACATCGTTATGTTGGGCAGGATATACCTATCTATCTAAAACAACTTCTTTAACGGGGTACGTGTTACTCAGTTTTTGTTTTTTATTATTGTGTTTTGTGGATAATTGTATTTCTTTTCGTCGTTTTTCGCTTTTGTCTTGGCGTTGTCAGTTTTGCATCGGCTTAATAGTTGTGAATGCCCATTTATTATCTTCCGCCAAAATTTAAATAAAACAAAACAAATCAAACTATACTGCGCAATTATCATTCTGACACGATCGTATGTCAAGTCCCGCGTTTTTTTTCCTTTATGTATCTCTGTATGTCAAAGCGCCTGTCACAAGATTAATTTGTCTACAAACTAAACATGATCAATGGGATAAATTTATAATGCAAAAAGAAATTCTACCCAATGATTTTTAAAAAGTTATACTTCAGAGAACACATGTTTTTGAAGTCAGTTATTCTATCAGTTTCCTTTTTAAAGAGTGCTTTAATTATTGGACATATATTTACTATATACAATCTAATAGTTGTTAATTTAACTTATGATCACTGAAATCAATTTCAAATGTACACAAATCAAATCGTAGTAACACCCTAACCTTAAAGTGAGGTACTAGTAGTTATATTGAGATAATATTGGTTGCAAATTATTCAAAAAGCCTTCCCGGAAATTTTATCTAAAGACTAATCATACCTGAAGAACTTGTTTGGGCTGTAGATATTGAGCTAACGACACCTGACATCTTCGTCAAATAGCTGTGACAAGTTGGTAATCCATTTGGAATTTCTAGCCTGGAGTTCTCAAAAGATTCATTCAGCATTAACGCCATACCTTCGACCATATGTTCATCAATGTGACAGTGCATGAACCACACTCCTGGGTTTTTGGCTTCTATTCTTATGATGACATAACCCCCGTATGGTACCACTATTGTATCTTTGCGCACAGGATCATTTATATTAATACCAGGGATATTTTTGTAATCATTCCATGATGAATTTCTCCACCGTGCATTATTACAACTGCTGTTCATATTCGGAAGTGTACTGCTGCATTCTATATCTTCTGTAAAATTAAATTTACCATCAATGGTTACCTCGGGAAATTCCATTTTAAGAACTTTGTAAGTGTGGCCATGCATGTGAATAGGATGAGAAATGGCAGCTCCCGTACCTAGATTGAGCAAAACCATAATGATTTCAGACCCAGATCTCAAGTTAATCGAATGGCTACAGTGACACGTTTCTTCGTCAGTGCATCCACTACAAACGGTATCAACCTCAGATGGCTGTGTGAGAGCAGATACCGTTGGCCAACGAAATATTCGGCCATTTATGGATGAATCACCTTTTGGAAAACCAAAGTTCAGAAAATGTAATGCTGTCTCGCTTGAATTTTGTATGTCCTGTAAAACAAATTTTTCATCGTCTACATTTTTCCTTGATTTCAAATTACTTACAGGAACGCAAACTATGTCTTCCTCATGAGGGAATGTTTTAAATGGGCAGTTAAGGACGCGACTTTTGATATTATTTTCATAAACTTTTGATGTTATATTTCTACTGTTAGAAACATTAAGAAACCCAAGTCCAATATAAGGTTTAATTGTTAGATTATATGACGAAAGGATGCTGACAGTAATATTATAGATTCCCTCTTCTGCATAGTTGAGATCGAGTTCAAAATCATAACGTTCAGCAGGATATATAATAAGTTGATCAACGACAGTCGGAACAACCTCAAAACCATCGGTTTCTGTTACATTCAGCTTTAAACCAGGTATAGAAAATAAGAGTACGTGCATTGATCCTACACCTATAAGTCTAAACAGACATCGATCCCCTTTTGTGACATAAAATATTTCTAGTGGTGCAAGGTTATCTTTAAACTCTCCTCTTCCATTAATTAAAATTGAATTTGGAAATTTGACCTCCTTCTTCACATTTGCATACAGCATGTCCATTGCGTTATATAGATGATTCCATTCTTGTATCTGTACAATATGTTGTAGTTCAAATGGTACTGGGTCTCTTTTTCGGAGGACGATAAATGCACCGTACATGCCCATATCTCTTTGATTACCTACATGTGAGTGATACCAATAGGATCCCCCAAATGTCGGTTGAAAGGTGTAATTAAAAGTTTGTCCCGGTAGTATCGGGCATTGAGAAACAAATGCCACGCCATCCATTGCTGGCCATCTAAGTTGGTCAATGCCGTGCCAGTGAACAGTTACAGCTTCATTGATCATATGGTTTTTAACTAGAATTGTTATTTTCTGGTTCGCATAAATGATAATAGATGGTCCCGGCATTGATTCATTTGCAGTAATTAAATGTCTTGTTTGATTCCAACCGTCAGCAGTTATTATATCATCTATAGGGACTTGGCCGTTTCTTTCTGGATTTAGAGAATGAAGTTCCCGATCTTTTGCGTACACTTGACCGATGTCTTTTTCTTTACTAATCATAGTAAAAGCTGATTTTATATCAAGTGATGTAAAACAGTGGACAGCGTTCTCGTCACATTGAAAGCCAACAACGATACCAATCAGTCCATACACAATACAGAGAAGAGTATTGAAAACCTGCAAATATACAGAAAAAAAATGTATGTTATTTACCAAAGTGTAACCCGAATAATTCAGTCGTTATATTCCGCTGATCTAAGATTACTTCATTAACGCCTGAATGCATAAAAAATGAAAAATCGTCAATCAATCATTCGGAATTAGCTCGGGATTTACCTAACTCGATAAAATTGAGCTGATTGCTGATTGGTCAACTCTTCTTCAGGGCATCAATCAAAATCCAGGATTCGTGGAGAGTTTTTATCGTGTAAGGAATTAAGGCCCTCGCAAGTAGGAGAGATCGATTACAGGGAGGGACTGAATTATTCGGGTTAACCAAAGTGCAAAATATTTTCATTTTATAACCTGGATATGGTTATAAGGTAATATTTAACAAGAATATTTTGTAATGTGGAGGGTTATATGTTCTTTATTAAACGTTAGTATTAATTTTGAAAACAGCAAGTTGAGATAATACGTTTTTGCAGAACGTAAGTACACACAAAGTATATGTATTCTTATTATGCTTATGAAAACATGTGGTGAATTAAACTGATCGTCCTTTACTGGTATTCAAAAATCGTACATCGATTAGAAAGAGACAAACTGAGGCAATGAACAAAACCTGAGGAAATCATTAGACCTCAAAAGGAAACGATACCCGGTGCTTCAATATAGTAAGTGTCTCCTGCTAGCATTACCCGCCATGCGATTTCACACTCAGTCAAAATGTCACATTTGGGAATAGGACACAATAGGTAAAATTACAAAACAGACGACTATACCTGTATCTAATGATTTACAAAACAGACGACTATACCTATATCTAATGATTTACAAAACAAACGACTATACTTGTATCTAATGATTTACAAAACAGACGACTATACCTATATCTAATGATTTACAAATCAGACGACTATACCTATATCTAATGATTTACAAATCAGACGACTATACCTATATCTAATGATTTACAAAACAGACGACTATACCTATATCTAATGATTTACAAATCAAACGACTATACCTATATCTAATGATTTACAAAACAGACGACTATACCTATATATAATGATATAAGACTGAATTTTGATGTTTATCTGCCTTCTTAACTATATGTCGTTCCTAAACTGGTACCTAAATATCTAAGCATCAGACATTCACATGGGAGTTTAAGTGGGTACAAATCAAAAAGAAGAAAGGATCTATGTCTTTTATACAAATAATCAATTAAGAATTTCACATGTTTCAATCATCATATATTTAAATCAAAAGATAAGTTGTCCATGGTAAAAGAATTTCATAAAATAGAAAGAATAAGATGAATATACACTTTAAATAAAAATACGTATATAACCAGTAGTACTATAATCAATGTTTGTACACAGATATAACCCAACTGTGTTTTTAAGAAAATGATTAGATGATAAACATTTAAACAAAAAGATCTCTCCTAACATGAATAATTCGAGACACAAAATCCCATAACGCAATTGACACACAAAGGAAATAATAGCATTTTAAAGCTGTACTTTACATCAGGTTAGCTATGCATGATTGATTAACATTAGTGTTAAAGTGAAAGGTGATAATGAATTTGTTGTATAGTCTACTGGTGCCTTTTATAATAATTATTCCTTCTTAGAATAAGAGTATCCTCGATAATATAAAACAAGAGACCTACATCGTTATACAGAAAGGCTCCATGGTGTCGATAGTCAAATTATTGCGGTTGACCGGTGTATTATTCAATTATGTCCACTAGTTCATGGACATAGGGTTTAGTTTATCAAGGTGATGAATACAGTACCCAAAGGTGCAATGGTAGGTTGTACGTGTAAAAATAACTTTTCGATAATTAGCAATGTACCCTTATATTTGAATTTTGTATCTATTATGTCTGTTTGTTTTGTTCACACATTGTTGTCAATATAATGGAATTTTATGCGACTGTCATACAAGTGAGAGATTTAGCTAGCTATAAACCAGGTTTAATCAATCATTTTCTACATAAGGAAATGCGTGTATCAAGTCAGGAATATGAAAGTTGTTTTCCATTCGTTTGATGTGTTTGAGCTTTTAATTTTGCCTTTAGATAAGGGACTTACCGTTTTGAATTTTCCTTGGAGTTCGGTCTTTTTGTTAATTCACTTTATACATAATCATTATTTCATAATTTACCATAGGGATATTTATTCATTATTATTCAAGGTATTCATGTTAAACGTTTTATGTATTCAATTTATTTGACATGGACAATATACATATAAAACATATGTTTCTTGACATGAAATGTTATCATCCACACGGGCATTAAAAAAATAATAATACACAATTATATTTCAAGACATTAACAGAATATTATAAGGACAAAATTAATAAATGTTAAAAGACTTACCTGCCAAAATTCCATTGCCGGATGCTAGCAGTGTTAGGTGCTTTTTGTGAATGAAATACATTACATTCCAACACGGTGAAATATTTATTCTATATTTTAAACTTTTTTATGAAATTCCAATTTCTTTTTTTAGATACTTTTCTCAGAAAATCATTCCTTTCTTTAATTTTATTGATACGTAAACAGTTTCCATTGTATTTGGGAATGTATGAAAAATACCAACTTAAATACTAGAGTCTTTCTAAACGTGAAATAAATTAGTCATAGGTATAACTATGAGTGGGAACTCAACTGAAACATTGATTGAATTGATCTGCAGTTCAGTCATTGTGTTAACAATACAAGATTAGGAAAGTTTTAACATCTAAAAACTATATTAGGCAATTAAATGACAAACACATTCCTAGTTCTTAGAAGTGACCACCAAATTGCCAAAAAAATCTTTGTTGGTGCAAATATTCAACTGAATTTATAGAAAGGTTCATATATAGACTATTGTTTCTTGTAATGAAATAAAAGCAATAGACTAAGTATGTAAGATAGTTAAATATCCCCGCATTTAACCGACAAGTTGGCATATATCGGTGTGAGTTTTATGGAATTTAAATGATCGACGCATTTGGAAAACAACAGTAACAGTTTTAGTTTTCATCAAATTTCGTAGATAAACCAGTATACTGTAGATTTCAATATACTTCTAATTGTGACTGTCCTGTTCAATTTTGAGGTTAAAATGATAGTTATTCCGATTGATTTTTCGTTAAATCCTCGGATTGCCAAAGTATGCATTTACAAAACATGACATTTTAAATTAAAGCAAGTGAGATAACTATCTTATCTAATTTAAATTAATAAACAAATTAAAGGATAATAACACATAATCGGAACCAGTGAAAATCTTAAACTAAACGCCTATTACAGAAATGCAATTGTTACCAATAGTATTTACACTCATTTCGGTAGAATGGCAGCTTACTCTATCGTGCTTACCATTTAACGCAGGTGGTAGAGTCATGACTGGTAACGTCCAAATCGTATATTCCAAACCTTTTTTCTCTGATATATGTATGTATATAAGACAGGAGGAAAATAATATATATATAATATCATAAATATAAATCATGTATTGATATTCCTCATTATATTTTGATAAAAAATCATGCTAAAATGCTTTTGCATTAAAAGTTATCTTGGTTTATATGACACACAAACATGACCACAATTCCTTCAGTCAATCCTAAATTCCAATTATATGTATAGGTATTATAATATAAGAAGATGTTGTATAATTTTCAATAAGATAACTATCAAACAAATAGTTTACTTTAATAAATTGTTATTTGGATGGAGAGTTGTCTCATTGGCACTCATACCACATCTTCCTTTATCTATCATATGTATTATTTTTGCACAAACATTGTTTGAAGTCATGTTGGTGATAGTTTATACAATCATTAAACATTGTGTAATACATAATTGTTTTAGTCATACAATCAAATCCGGCGAATCTCACTTTTACTCAAAATAGTAGGTTCACGATGGATCAATATTGGTCCATATAATTTCATTACATTTAACCCCAATAACCACAGTAAACATCTGTTGACAAAATGTGTAAAAATATCTGACAAATTTAAAAATCAACAAGATCTGGGTTATAAGAACACTAATGTTGTCATCATGGCGTATTATTCTGCACTCTTAAGAAGAAAACTATAATCTTTACTAGCTTTTGGCTAAATTTTAATAGTTTTTGCCTCAAACGACACTGATACCATGCAAGGACTATCGTAATTTATTGTACGTATGTGTTTCAGACCCATCTTTGAATAAAAAGATCTTAACAACATCTGAAAAGTCTGTACCATTCCGGGTACCTATGTATATAATACTGAAAGTAATAAGATATGGAATAATTTGTATTTTATCATTAGCATTATTTAAAAAATAAGAAGATGTGGTATGATTGTCAATGCGACAACTATCTACCTGGTAAGCGGAAGTGACTAAATAGTCTAACCCGGATAGTAATCGCCGAGGTCGCACGCATTTTGTTTCGCAAATCTCACAAATTCAAACTCTCAACTTGACATTTTTTTCTAACTTTAAATGAAGCATTCCATGGGAAAACCGTTGTGCTATATCTTTAGATTTTTGTAATCGTTGTTTATTGTTCTTTTAATTTAAAAAAAAGATTCCGTGTCGTGATACTTGTAATCATTGATGTAAATCAGCTATTTGTCAAAATCCAGAATACGCATTAGCAACTTCAGTGAACATAAAGTATTATATTGTCAATCTAATACAATGACGTGAAACCTTATGTATTCAAAATATTAGATAAAAAAGGTAGGTTACTCGGAACTGATAATATTCATAGTTCTGAAACATTATATTTATAGTACTGTAACATTATATCTTATAATATTGTAACATCATTCTGAAATTTAAGTATTCTCTATCACGCCTAAGTAAACTATGTATTGTTATCTTATATTCCTGGCTATAAGTATTTGCAAAACTGTTATTTTGTTAATTTCCCATCTGTCATATCCTCATTATTCAAATTGTAAATACTTTGTTCATTTTATCATCACATGACTGTTATTCTGTAAAGCTATCACTTGTGTATTGGTTTTGCACGAAAATGATTTGCAGTCATGTTGGTGATATTTTATACAATCATAAAAATACAAAATCGGTGAGTATGTCATTTGCTCGAATTTCAGCAATTTTTCTCTTCCTGGTGACTTCTAAGGACGTTTTTTGTTAAACAAATGTCACATTATATATATATATATATATATATATATTCGTATTATCATATCTGCCCGTCTATTGACCTATTTTTTTGTATTTTGGATGCAGTGTTCTGATATTGCTGCGATTCATTTGTTGTGGTTCACCCTGTTCTCCGATTTGAATTACCTTACCCAACCAAAATGTACGATAACAAAATAAGTTAATGCTGTCTTCCTGAATTAATCATACACTCTTTATAAATTATTATTCGAAATTCATATCTTCATGACAAGAGGTAAATACACAATTTACGTAAAGCCAAGAAAATGATTCAAATTGAGAACTCTCGTTTGGAGTTTGATTCATTTTACTCTTATATTGCCTAGGTGTTGAAAAATTAATGCTAAAACATGAAAAATATACATAGAACAAGAAATCTAGTATTGATAGTAAAAAAGATGTATATGTTGTATTAAGCTTGTCCTACTAAGTTATGTTGATATAGAAATAAGAGGAAATGGTATATTTGATGCCACGATTATCCATTAGAGTCAAAATCATAAAAATTAATCAATAATAGGTCACTGTAAGGCTTTCGACAATGAGCAAACCGCATACCGTATAGTAAACTTAAGCAACTAAAAAGTTTAACCTGGATATCAGATTCCAAAATCGCACACATTGTGTGTCGTATTCTGTTTCTAACCAAAATCAAACTACCTATATGGTTTTTTTCTAAATTAAACTAAGGCATTTCAGTGGAAACCGGTAGCAATTTCTTTATATTTATATAAAATTTGTTTATTGTTTTTTTTATTTAAAAAAAAAACTATGTAGTTTGATGCTTGTTATTAACGTGAATCCGCATTAGCCACTTCAGTGAACGTGTACTATGTCTATCGATTATAACTTTTATGATTTATTACACCAATACGTTTTCCGTTGATTAAGCTGAAATTGACCTTGTATAGCTTCGACTGTTGTTATATCGTTCCGTTAGCATTGCCCTTAAAAGCTATGTCTTCTTTTGCTGTCAAAACTGTTGGCCTCGATGAAAATAAATTTAAAGGCACAATGTTTACGCTAACTGATTAAAACTGAATACAAAGAAAATCTACCTAAATTATAACTTTAACTGCATAATTTGATTATGTTCTACACACGAATATATATATCGGATTTTATCTTTAAACATACATATTCATTTTAATACATATAAACCATAGTATAACATATTTTATTTCGGTTCTTATTCACTGTTGGCTTTCGATTATTCGGCTTTGAGTGTTCCTGATGAAGTTAAAGACAAAAAAGCATGAAATTTATGATTTATTTTTTTTATATTTTCATATTTTAATTAGTGACCTCAACATTTGTTGGCCAGTAATTAAAATCAAAAGATCGATTTTGTAAAAGAAAAATATGTTTATTTTTAAGATGCGCTCTACGAACTAGATCGGACTGAGCTAAAGAATTTACTATTTCTAAAACTCAAAAATTAATATTGTTCATTTTAAAACTTTAATATAGTATCGGATATAAACTATATACACCCACTAGCCGACTTCGTATTTGGCCAGTCCATTGTTTTCATTTCAGCGCTACTGGTGAATCATTGATAGACGCTTGGTGTACTAAATTATAAATCTGATATAATTATACAATCAAAACAGTAACTTTGACATGTTACAAAAGACAAAAAATTACAAGTAATATGTTTTTATTTTTTGTTTTTTTTATTATTATAAAAGTTTCATTTTCATTGCACATTGTGTAGTAAGATAAATTTATTGCATATTTCCTTCGTTGTCTTCGTTAACCGGATGATACACCGTACACCAGATAATAAATTGTGTCACTTTCTTTTTATTTTAACAATACTTTTTAATTATCTTACATGTACTTTTGAAATATCTTTGAAAAAAATATTTTTAAAACTGACACAAATTTAAGAAGTTTACAATTATATGTTCAATTACTTACGTAACATTAGACATAGCGATAGATTATCATCTATAAGATATGCAAGCCTCCCTATCTTAAATGCCAAGAAGTCGTCTGTTTATATAGTGTAACGTGATTGTTTTTTTATTTATATTACAATACCTAGTATATATGTGTAGTAGGCCATGACCAACGTTTAATAATCTATCTATTATTAAGGAATGGATATACCTTGATCTTTTATTCTTGTATGTGTCAATATTAGACGTGAGCAATACCAGTGAATTAAGAAAGGGGCGTTCATTGGGATTGACGACACAAGTTTCCTATTCAATTTATTTTAAGAGTGTTTCAAAATGATGCTCATTAATAATGCGCATATGCTAAACATTTAAACATCAATCAATATAAAGAAAACATTCCTTCGACGAATTTTAACACCATTGTGATTCTGCTTTAACTTAACTTTTACCAATGTGAAACAGTCATAGATGACCTTCTTTCACATCTTCATCATCCGCTTGGGTTACATTACAATAGAGCTATTCTTTTTTCAGAATAAAGAAATATATAAAACGAAGGGGAACATTTCCCTCTAACAACTTTTTACATGAGATCAAATCCCCCCTTCTCTCTCTCTCTCTCTCTCTCTCTCTCCAAATATATCCTTTTTCCAAAGATTTCTTTGACACTATTAATATATGCAATGTTCTGTAAACGAAGCTTACACTTTCTGTCGAGATAAAAAAACCAAAACCTATGAAGTTTGCTACTTCAAATGTTTGCGCATGTTCAAGAATTTACATGAACATGTAAATTATTAGATCTTGTATTACTAATACTTCTTTATCTTATTTATCTTTTGTATCTTCTTTTTTGTAGAATTTTCCCTTTCTTCATTTGTTTGTCTATTTGATTTCTTCATAAATCGAAAAACGCACCAAGCTTAATAGAATCACATGGTATTGAATGAATTCTTCAACTCAAAACTAGTTAGACGCCTCTTAAATGTTATGTTTGTCGTTTGATTGCTTGTCCATTGACGTTGATCCCATATCTTTTTTTCTTCCGGTACTTCTAGAAACCGCTCAGCGATTAATTTTACATGATATCTTAGGAGAAAAATACTTGTAAGTCATGAATATTAAAGTATAACTTGCGATCAATTTTTGTAGTAAGATTTTTTTGTTAAAAGAGCCCCATAAGGACACTTTATGGTCGTCGTATATCCACACTTAAATATATAAAACAGTTTCAAACTGTTTGCATCAGTGAATTTTGAAAATGTGGTTTTGACAAACTGGTAATTTCTGGTGAAAACTTCCCCCACCCCTTTTCGTAACAATTTAAGACACGTTCCACTAATTATACAAATAGTCAAACATGAATAATCCAATAAACAAAATTTTTGATTGGTTTGTCATAATTGGTTATCAATTTCGATATGTTTTCGTCATTTTTTTAATGATTAAAGGTTTATCCTTCAGTATTAAAATATTGGTTCGGTATCATTTCATTAATTGTATCCTTGTTGTACATGTGTAATAACTTATTTTTTTTAACAATATAACTTCTTCATTTTTTTAAGAATTGTTTATATAACTATTTATTATTTGTTTAGCAATGCATTATTGAATTCAGCAAAATCACGATACAGAAGCTCGCAAGGTTAATTCCTAGGAGAACACGCCATATTGATATTAAATTGTATGTAAAAAGCTGTTGTATCTTCATCAACTGGCAAGCAAATATGTTATACGTATTGAACAAGTAAATCGGTATATGGCATTTAATCTACACGGCTTGGATGACCTTACTTGACCCGAACGACGTAGAAGTTGGGGTTAAAGTGTTAGCCCGAACATGCAGATTAAATGACATATACCGATTTGATTGGCAAATAACTGGTCTAACACATGACGGCATCATATTACATGAACGTTTTGGAAATATTCGGATGCTATTCAATCAACTGTTCATGGGAAAGTTTTCTTGTAGGGTAAAGCAAGGATTTGTAAAGTGATACTATACAAATCCTTGGGTGAAGGATGGTGGAAATGCCTTTAAGTAGTAACACTTACAGATTGGTAACTTTTTTATTCTAAATTGTCTAATTATTTCGAAAATCACGTTTCAAATACCAGGTCTTTGATTGACTCTTTTGAAACAGAGACATGAAATACATGTATTTTATGTTTTTGGTTACATTTATTCACAATCTTTATGTGAATTTTGGACGATTTAGTACTAGACATAGTGTGTAGACACCTTTCCATTGTTGAACACTTTATATGTTTACCGTGGGTTCATTATTATTCGTTGGATACCAATGTTCGTAGATTTCGTGGGTACAGTTGAACCCCGGAGTTAAAAGACGAATGACAAATGTTCCTAAGGCTTGTATGCAGACTTCGACCACGGAAACCACGAAATTAAATAACCACGAACATGTAAGTTTTCCTTCATCTACGAAAATTGATGAATCCACAGTATATATGTTGCCATCTGGATGTCCTTGAGTGTTTTTTTTCGTTTGATTGCTGTCTTATTGACGATTAACCCATATCTCGTACAGTTTAAGTTCCATGTAAAGTACTTTTGAATCGGTTTAAGACAAATCTAAAATGAAAAGGTTATTGATTATAGATTTAGCCTAAAGTACTTGTTCAGTGGAAGATTTATAGAAGAGATTTGTACTTTAATTTCTAGTGTAAAGTAAAGAAACAAAAAACGTGTCACTTTTCAATTGTTAACTCCCCCTCCCCCTCCGCCCCCCCCTTCTTTTTAAACTGGATTAATTTTGAATCTCGTCGTTACGTTATTAAAAAACATAGAACTATTGTACATATTATATTGTTTAAATTACTATTGTCGTGAGTATCTTTGAGAGGAATGGGTTGTGCTAAATGAAGATGAACCATAAACATATACAAGTAAATGTACAACTAATGTTTATACAATTGCCGTTAACGCTGTAACTTTAATACCTAAGGTATTACGAGCAAGGTTTCTCTTATGGTTTTATTAACATGATGAAGAGAGGCTGAAGTGTACAGATATGATGCAGTGATGAAATCCATGTCATCTCTGAAGAAAGAATAGGACGTGCATTTGTGTATCCTGTGGGTAGTATTCTGTAAACGGAGGCGAAAGATACCAGAGGGACATTCAAACTCATAAGTCGAAAATAAACTGACAACGTCATGGCTAAAAACGAAAATGATAAACAGACAAACAATTGTACACAAAACACAGCATAGAAAACAAAAGACTGAGCAACACTAACCCCACCAAAAAACAGGAGTGATCTCGTGTGCTTCAGAACGGTTAACAGATCCCTGACCTATGTGGCACGCGTCGTGTTGCTCATGTTAGTAAAACCCCGTAATAACTCGGTAGGTCACATTCGGGAAAGGGGGTGCGGGATTGTAGTTACGACATAAGAAACATATTCGCTATCATCTGTGACACGGATGTTCGATAAAAGTCAACTAACTCGTGATGGTGTGCGTAACATACGATGATTGAGCACATATTCAGTCACGTCTGTACATAATATTAAGAAACCTTGTTTTTCTTTTAATATAATAATTCAGGTCTATTGAAAGAGGTCAATCCTATTTTAACAAGAACCCGGGCTGTCTCCATTGAAATGGAGCATGACACTAAACATTGGTTGAGTATACTGTAGCAATTGGTAGATTAAGTAAAAAACGTTCATAGTGTAGAAACACTACTATAAGTATTGTTTTTCATGGACTCATTTTATAGTAGTGATTTATTGTATTGTGTGATCCGCATCTTGGTAAAAATGTGGATATTAAGAGCCAATCCGCCAGAAAACCATGCAATATTCAGAAAATCGTCCAAATCAACAATCACAACTTGACAAATTTTTATACATCATCTTAATCCTTGACATAAAATAAAAGAATTTGACCACTTAATTTTTCCCAGAATCGTATCTATTTTTAGTAACAGCCTCATTTGCATAATTCTGTAAATTCATAATGAAACCAAGGAAAAATCCAACTTTTTTATGCCTTTTAAGAATGACCCAGAAGCATATTAAATGGGGTAGTTGAGTTTTTAGAGTAATGTCAGCTGAAACTCATCCATTTTACTATGTTATGATCAATACAAATGAAAATTTAAACGATTTGGCACATTGCCAGGAGCAGGGACACAAAGGCGGGGTTTTTCATACATGAATTTACATGGTTTTCATTCGCTTCTATCTTGCAAGACCCATTCCGGATTTGTTTGCAACTTATATCGGTTTTAACTATGGGGTATGTTTTATATCAAAACAAAATATTAAGCTTGGCAAATGACTATTATATGTTAATTTATGCCTTGGAAGAATGGTGATTTTAGTCCCAAATTGACACATTTTGATTTTGATTTTAATTAAATTCTAAACACAATTGGTACTAAAATGGCTCATAAAATCATTCGAACAAGTAAAATCAATTTGTCTGAAAAATGAAATAAGACGTATTTGTACTGCAAGTCCAAAAATCAATAAATTGTCTGAAACCAGGGAGTCCATCTTTTATGCTCTTCCATTGACTTATCTCCCTTGGGTAAGATCTCAAACATGTCAGCTCCCAGTGATGGTTTGGCAGACAAATGTTTACAGTGAAGTTTGTGACTTCAATAATCTAGGATGAGCATGTGGGCTATTCCAGCCTTATACATCTACATATTACAAACTATTTAAGATATCTGAATGCACTAAAGACCAAAATAGCATTTCCAAAAAAAAATAATTACTGCCAAGAAATTTGACAATCATGACAATAATTTAGTGAATAAACATGATAAATATTGATTGGAAAAATAAGTCCATGAACAGCAAAAAGTGTTTTTAGATTTCAACGAGCAAAACAAAAGTATTCCAAATCATTCTTCGTAAAAAAAAAAGTGAGCCAGTGGAACCACCTTGCTCGCACCAAAATTGAGATTGAGAGTGTCAAAACTGCTCTGGCGCACCATCAATAAATCAACGACACTCTCTCTACGGTAGACTCTACCGTGGTATTGAAACCAGCATTGGTAACCAAACATATTCATACAGATACAGACTACCATTCATCTATATTTAGGAAGTCTGAATAATACTGAAAACTTAATGGTGTAGAATTTCCAACAGGACTCCTTATTTTATATAAGACAAGGAGTGGTTTATTTTCCCATGGTTGTTACATCATCTTGTCTTTGAATATGCTCGAAGTACAGGGACTTTTATGGAATTCATTGACATGATAGTCAAGCAAGATGTCAACATCTCGTCCAACCCTCTTCCAGCAAAGCCAAAGCTGACCAAGGATCTTCACCCTTTCAAAACAGGCTGTATACAGGACGAGTTATTCCAGTAGGAACAGGTACAAATCTTACAATCAATTTTCATTTGTTCCATATAGTCAATCTGAAATAAGGGGACCAACAATTGATACATTAGCTAGATTAAAAAAAGGGGGAGGTGGGTGTTGAAGGGGCATGTGAATATTCTTTTATACCTGACCTGTTTCTAAGACATCTTATTTATTTCCTATGGCAAAGTGCAAGCAAATAATATATATCCGTATATACATTGTTCTGTCTTGGGACCATTTGATTAAAAAAGCAAGGGGGAGGGTTAGAATGGTCAAAATATTTATGTCCTTGTCAGCTTAGGACAGAATTTTAATTTTCAAGCTATAAACCAGGGTACAATATATATTTATTTTCTGCTTTAAAAAATCAATTTATAGACCAGAATCATGATCATGATGATAATAATCAAAATCTATTTCAACATATTCAACGTTTAGCAGGTCAGGTTTTTATTCTCTCCCTCTAAGTTATATTTTCAGTTCTTACTGGAAGTTGTTCAGCTCTTTGTGTACTAAAAAAAGTTTTATCTCGTGGAAAAGCCTCCTACAAATACATGTTTTACATACAACAAACTGTACATGTAACGCTAGACAACTTTATCCAGAGAATAATATTTTTTTAATGAACTAATAGGCCATGGAGACTAAAAAAATCAAAAGCATTGCAAACTTTTGTAAGGTTCAATTTTAGGACCCTACATGTACATGTATGTAGATTACTTATAGAGCCCTTTTTAAAAGAAAAAAACATACATTTAAACTACATGCACAGTGATGCTACACTACCCTACATTTCCTGTCTGATATATTTTATTTCATGTAAAACAAAATTGAAGAATTATTTTATAGTTTAACACTTTTTATTTGTAGGGCTATATATATGCAAGCAATGCTCAATTAAGATGAATTTTTGTAAAAGTGACAATAGCCAGGTCAAACTAAATACATGTATAGAAGAAGATATTGGTAAGTTATTATTAACTTATATAATAATTTAACTGTTTGTATAACATGGTAATCATACCAAGTATATGTAATCACTTATATAATAACATAATTATACAATTACATGTTATACATTTGTACATCAGTTTTATTAAACAGGTCTTTGTTAACTTGGTTTTCCCGTTGAAAAATCACTTTGCTAATTTTAATTTGTAGTACTATATTGGGCGGCTCCTATAGTTTCCATTCAATAACTAACAATGACTAATGAACTGTTCATACATTCCATTTCAATTATTTTATTTATTAATACGTATTACTTTTACTGTTAAGTCTGTTTTTTTTTATATCCATTTTACGTGACTCTGTATTTATGTATCCCGTCATATTTGAACGACAAAATTATTTTATGTCTACCTGTACGAATTTCAAACGCGCGATTTTACGCCAGTACTTAATTAAAACCTTCCATCCTTTATGGGTGGATTTTTCATAGATATATAAAATAGTATAATAAAAGCAAAATGAGGATGTTAAATTTGATGTACATGTATGCCTTTTTGTGCTTCTTCGTTACATTTGTTTGTTTTTATAGTGATTAAGATGATAACACAATGTTGACTGCTGTACACCTATTTTTGACAATTTTACCTATTGTGTCTGTTTGTTTTGTTCATGCATCGTTGTCAATATAATGGAATTTGATGCGACTGTCATACAAGTGAGAGGTTTATTATCTAGCTATAAAACCAGGTTCAATCCACCATTTTCTACATAAGAAAATGCCTGTACCAAGTCAGGAATATGACAGTTGTTATCCATTCGTTTGATGTGTTTGAACTTTTGATTTTGCCAATTGATTGGGGACTTTCCTTTTTGAATTTTCCTCTGAGTTCAGTATTTTTGTGATTTTACTTTTTCAAATATAAAAGGGGGAGATTTTTATTGGTACTTTTGAAGATATTTCAATTGTTCGATTAATTGATTGGTTGTTGGTAATGCTAATGTCCAATGGCAAATAGTTCATGCATGTTTAGGACAAGAGCAAATTAAAATAAATACATTATTTGGGTTCTTAATATGCTAAATCTAACAATGTATTTAAATAATTTAAGATGTTGCAATTGGGCCCCATTTTAAATTGGTTCACATTGATTTCAAAATGGTCCAAAATTTTTTTTCTTATTTCTACACAACTTGAATTCTTGAGGTTCTTTTGATATACAAAATGCAAATGTTTTAAATTTAGATTTTTAATTTTGGTCCGGTTTTCAAATTTGTCCACATTTTAAAGTCCAAAGGGTCCAAATTTTAACTTAGTTTAATTTTAACAAAACTTGAACTCTAATTACAATGAATTAGGGTTCTGTGTATGATAAATAGAAATAATCAAATATCCTGAATATAAATATGTACTTAGATTTATGATTTTGGTCCCAGTTTTCAAGTTGGTTCAAATGGGGTCCATAATTTAACTGTGTTTGATTTCAACAATAATTTTAAAGATGCTGATTCAGCCTGAATCTAACCTGTATTTAGTTTTTGGGCCCTATTATGAAATTGGTTTACATTGAGGTCCAAAGGGTCCAAAATTAAACTAAATTTTAAATCTTAATTTGATCTTGGGGTTCTCTGATATGCTGAATCTATTAAACTTTATCTTTATACCATATTTATTCTGTGTTAGAAACCTATTATTTGCACAGTATTGCGCAATAGCAAGAAATATCCATTAGCACAATATTGCGCAATAGCAAGAAATTGTCAATTGTACAGTATTGCGCAATAGCAAGAAATATTCAATTGCACAGTATTGTGCAAAAGAAGATACTTCGTATAAATTGCTTATTTCTTGACCAATTTCAATGTGGTTTTATTGTTGAATTCTTGGGGTTCTTTGATATGCTGTATCTAACCGTGTATTAAGTTTTTGGATTTGGGGCCCCGTTTTTTAAATTGGTCCACATTGAGGTCCAAAGGGTCCAAAATTAAACTTTGTTTGATTTCATCAAAAATTGAATTATTGGGGTTCTTTGATATGCCGAATCTAACCGTGTATTTAGATTCTTAATTTTTGGTTCCGTTTTCAAATTGGTCTACATTAAGGTCCAAAGGGTCCAAAACTAAACTAAGTTTGATTTTAACAAAAATTGAATTCTTAGGGTTCTTTGATATGCTGAATCTAAACATGTATTTAGATTTTTGATTATGGGCCCAGTTTTCAAGTTGGTCCAAATCGGGGTCCAAAATTAAACTTTGTTTGATTTCAACAAAAATTGAATATATGGGGTTCTTTGATATGCTGAATCTAACCATGTATTTAGATTTTTGATTTTTGGGCCCCGTTATCAACTTTGTCCACATTGAGGTCAAAAGGGTCCAAAATTAAACTTTGTTTGATTTCATCAAAAATTGAATTCTTGGGGTTCTTTGATATGCTGAATCTAACCATGTATTTAGATTTTGGATATTGGCCCATAATAGGTGAATGTCCAATTTAAAATTTTTAAGTTCTTAGACCACATTCATTCTGTGTCAGAAACCTATGCTGTGTCAAATATTTAATCACAATCCAAATTCAGAGCTGTATCAAGCTTGAATGTTGTGTCCAAACTTGCCCCAACTGTTCAGGGTTCGACCTCTGCGGTCGTATCAAGCTGCGCCCTGCGGAGCATTTTATTATTGTTGTACAGATGTTAAGGGCTATTTGGACATGCTTAAAGGTGTGGATAATAACTATTCTGCAAAAATGATTTGGCTTTAGTTGGGAGAATTTTGTAACTGCATCCACTTACAGTAAAAGTTGTCAATTTTATTTCCTGTCAGTGGTATATATGAAATAAAAAAAAATGTGGTATGATTGCCAATGAGAACAAATGACATAGAAGTAAAGCTATAGGTCTCCATACGCCATATGGCCTTCAACAATGAGCAAGACCTATACTGCATATATATTCAGCCATAAAAGGCCCCAAAATAAGAAAATGAAAAAATATGAAAGCTAACAGCCTGATTTATGTATGTATGTTTTGTGGTTTTCAGATCTAGACTCGCAGCTAACCTTTCTGTCAGTGTCAACAACAACTGAACTTTCACAGCAGTCAACATCAGATTGGGAGACTGATAATGCTTCTAACAGAAACAATTTCAACCAACCAAACAAGCAACAGAAACTTTCCAACTTTAAAACATCAGTTAAATCTTCCAGGGGATGATGTCTCAAAAAATAACAGTTCATCATTTATGGAGATTTTAATGTTATGGTTTTTCTTTTACAAGAAAGTTAATGTACACTTGTTTTATAGTAAAACCTATAGCTGTCCAAGTATAAAAAAACACATTCAACTTTATTGAAATTGGAAGATTCATATGACTTATTTTAATTCTGTTATCTCCGAGGATGTGATGTAGAGCATTATAGGTACAGTAATCTTAACAGCTATCCAATTTCATTCAAAATTCTTTATAAATTTTGCACTGGTATATATAGACTAAGTAATTTGTTTTTCGTCTAGTTATGGGATTTTTTTATACCCCACGCAACGAGTTGCGGAGGGTATAATGTTTTTGACCCGTCCGTCCGTCTGTCCGTCCATCCGTCAGTCCGTCAGTCCTGTTTCTTGTCATCGCAACTCCTCTCAAACCACACAACAGAATTTCACGAAACCTTTTTAGATAATAAGGACATACTACGTAGATGTGCATATCGACAGGAAATTACGATTTAATTTTTTTTCCAGGAGTTACGCCCCTTTGAACTTATTTACTTTAATGTACTACTGCAACAGTTTGTCATCGCAACTCCTCTCAAACCTCACAACAGAATTTCATGAAACCTTTTCAGATAATAAGGACATACTACGTAGATGTGCATATCGACAGGAAATTACGATTTAATTTTTTTTCCAGGAGTTACGCCCCTTTGAACTTATTTGCCCAATATACTACTGCAACCTTTTGTCATCGCAACTCCTCTCAAACCACACAACAGAATTTCATGAAACCTTTTCAGATAATAAGGACATACTACGTAGATGTGCATATCGACAGGAAATTACGATTCAATTGTTTTTCCAGGAGTTACGCCCCTTTGAACTTTTTTGCCCAATATACTACTGCAACCTTTTGTCATTGCAACTCCTCTCAAACCACACAACAGAATTTCATGAAACCTTTTCAGGTAATAAGGACATACTACGTTGATGTGCATATCGACAGGAAATTACGATTCAATTTTTTTTCCAGGAATTACGCCCCTTTGAACTTATTTGCCCAATATACTACTGCAACCTTTTGTCATCGCAACTCCTCTCAAACCACACAACAGAATTTCATGAAACTGTGTAGATAATAAGGACATACTAGGTTGATGTGCATATTGACAGGAAATTATGATTCAATTTTTTTTTCTGATACAATTTTTTTTTTCTTACACTTATTTTATTTCTCCAATGACAATGTGGGGACGTGGGGTATGTGAGCGCGCTCACTAAGGTTCTTTCATTTTAGAAGCACTCATGATTTTCATGTTTGTATTGACCACATTGCAGCAACATAGATATAGGTACCTGGCAAATCTTGCCTTGTTAGCATACTAGGCTCAAAGGGTCATAAAAAAATGTCCATCACTAACTGTCTGTTAAAATCATGTTTACAGTTTTCACTTTTAAACCATCATCTTAATAACTTTAGAAGAAGTGTCATACATATATATATATGTATACAAAATTTAAAAACTTTTCAATATATATATAGATTCTACCACTGCATCGAGTGTGATACGATATTTATCCACTCGAGACAGTTAAATTTTCAAATTTAAAACGCGAGGCTCGCCGAGCGTTTTAAATATTTAAAATTTAACTGTCGAGAGTGGATAAATATCGTATTACACGAGATTTGGTGGTGGAATCTGTTTCTCTAATGATTTTCAAACAATACGCAGGCAAATTTATTCCTTCTTTTCGAATGATCTGCAAAAAGATGTGTTCTTTCTATGTGACGTCATCAGGCATGGTCGCCTTTTTTCATGCCGTCACAATAGGAAATTCAGAGGAGAGCAAGAAAATTCGACGTCATAATCGGATTTTAACCAATGAAGAACTGAGATCAAACGAACCACATGTTGATTAAATTTTTTTTTATACAATGGGTGCAGAAAGGGATAAATTGACGAAGAATTAGAGAAATATATATATATTTGATAAAAACTATCAACATGACAAGATCTAAATACCCAAAATTTTTCTGAAAAATTGGACATAACATCTATGAGCTATTGTCCCTGAAATGTGTAAATTTACAAATTTTCACAGTTTTCTGCTACTATCCGACAACTATATCAATATATTATAAGAATAAATTGCAAAAGTGGTCAGAAGAAACTTTTTTTTTACAGTCTAAACTTATTCTGAATTGTTTAACTTCTAATTTAAATTGATTGCGTTTGAAATATGTGTTTTTTATCGTTTTAGGTGCACAATTTGTCAATACGATCTATTTGAGCTCCTGGGAGCCTCTAGATTTATAATGAATAATTTGTTTTTATGTATGATTATTTTCTTAATGTATTAAATGAAACATTAATTATTCTTTTCCATTTGTTGTTATACTTATTTATAAGTCCAGATCCTATCATATGTCAGTAGTTACAAATTAGACGGCAAAATTGAGAAAATTTGAATATGCAGGTTACCCCATTTTGTTGTGGCATATACCAGACACCAACATTATTTGCCGAGCTTGATATTTTTTTTGATTGGGTATATATAGTTATACTTTGCAAGTAGATATGTTGTTTTACAATAATAAACGGGTCTTGGAGTATTTTGGCTCTGAAAGATGACCAAAATCAGCCATTTTGGACATGTAGCTAAATAAGACATATTGAAACAGTTAGATTATACATACACTTAATAGACAGCATTGTTAATTCTATGCATTCTTACACTTAAAGTGATGTATTACTAGGAACAACTATCAAAAAATTATAAATGTTACCATATTTTTTTATTTAAACCAGCGAAATATGCCAAAAAAGGCTTATTTTTGCTGTTTTCGAGCCATTTCATCTGTTAAAACATGGCGCTCAAAAAATATCCAGATCGGTTTAATATTTTCCCAAAAAAATTTGTGTGGTTATTTACATTACTAAGGTGCACCAATATGCCAAATATGAACTCATTTGGAAAAAGTGACATTCGGACGGTTTTGCATGGTTTTCTGGCAGATTGGCTCTTAATAATACAATACATTTTACGGATAATGCTAAATTAAGTTGACAAATGTGAATATCGGACTTATAAAACACTCACTAAAAACCTTATGAACTGCATGAACATCCTACAAGAAAGCATAGAAGTTCCAAAAGTGAAATGTTTACGAACCACTTTAAGAACCACTTACAAGGATCAATATATTAAACTGTTATTTTCTCCATTGTTGAAGCATATTACATTATACCTTTCATATATTACTGAGTTAGTATCAATTGATCAAACAATGTGTACTATTTATTGATTTTGACACGGGAATACAAACGACTAATTCTATCATCATGTCATTTGTGAAAAATTTGATGAAAATAAAGATCCCAACAATTCAAACACTTTAAGGTGGTACCTAACACTACAGGGAGATAACTCTGTAAAAATCAGCTAAACGTTTTAATTACGTTGTATTGTTAAGGAAATATTAAGCTTCTCAATGATCAAAATTAGTGTTTGTCAAACTGCTATATAACCAATGAAATTTTTCTGATAAAGTGCTTGGTTCAATTTTTTTGAAATTTTTACATTTTTGTCAAAGGGTCAAAGTAAACATTTTGTCAAAATTTTATGAAAATTAAACGAGCCAAATTAATATTAGTCAAGGTGTTGGGTACCACCTTAAATATAATTATAAAGACACTATGTCATGCTTTGTCAGGACAAGAACAAGGAGCAATACATTCAATAGACAGATCCTGTAACATGAAATTAATATAGATCTCCATTTATTAAAGAAGGTATGTCAGATAGGGACATTAATATTGTCTTGCAACCTTTCACCTACATACATCAGAAAGAGTTGTTGAATTGGGTTTACTGCAGGACAGGAGAAGTTCAGGTGACCATGTCTTTAAATATAATCAACCAATGGGTCTGAAAAACGGAAATGTTTGGCACTCAAATATTAACATAATCTTTCACTATCGTAGTTATCAATCATCTTTTAGTCAGGTCAAAAAGTATCTAAAACTGCACAATTGAAGCTGTGATACTTTGAATTTATGTATTGAACGTCCTTCTAAAAGTAGCATATTATATATATTAGTGTGCAGTTAGTACAGTGGCAATTATGTATTATTTTAAATCAGATATCATGAAATGATCTTAACGTATAGTTACAAACAATCATACACGTATAGTATTAATATTGTTTAAAGTTGTTTTTTTTTTGTTCCAACTATATTTCTACAAAGAAGTAAGGGTCATATTGGCCTACAAGTCCATTATTTTAAGATCAAAAATGTTTCAAGCTGATGCAACATTGTAAATTGGAAGAGATATGAAATCGTATAAATACATTATCTCTAGTTTTTCTTCTCCTTTGCTAAGCAATAACATTGATTATTGGAAGAGATGTGAAATCGTATGAATACATTATCTCCAGTTTTGCTTCCACTAACTCGCGGTTATAAATACCAAATGCTAGACAGAGTTGGTCAGCAGATACTACCTTTTTAAAGGTGTACAATATTTTCGTTGTGTCCTTGTCAATAACTGAAAACTCATTGCGGTTCATATTAACAAAAAATCCAAGTCTTCCTGTGGCAACTGTACCAGCTGTATTCCCCAAACTCATTACTTTAATTTGTTCCTTTGTATTCGACATCGTATTTATTGCTGTAAGGCATATGTAAGAAAAGCAATTATGAATAGTAAACGACCATCCAATGGTTCCGGCAGAGATATGATTGTCTATTTCTCTACGACTGGTCACTCCTACTTCGACAACTAAGAAATTTGAGTTATTAATAAAGGACGACAAAATTTCGTACGAGAACTTAATTTCAAAGTATATTTTACTTGCGTTAGTTAGAAATTTATCTCCAATAGTTCCTTTGTACGCGTTTAACTGTTCCGGATGATTAGCAACATTCGGAGTCCCTTCACTGAACGAATTAGCCATTACTTTGTTATCATTAGACAGGAACAGTAATGAATGTGTTGATTTCCTGTCAAAACTCAACGAACATGCGTAATCGGTCTTGTCATCTGAAATGAACGTTTGATAATATACATAAAGTAAAAATATAAAATATAAATATCATAAACACGTTTTGTAATTGTATATAACATAAAAAGGTATTCACAATATTTTTTTTTAAGCGAGGAAGAACTAGATAAGCAAAATATCTCCAAATACAAGCCGTGTGGGGAATACGTTAATGAGTCATCTAAAATAAGGTATACTGACATCAAAATACAGCATTAAAAATACAAATGTTTGTACACTATACCATACTCTTAGTCTGTTTTTGGTGATATCCATTTGGCGTGGCTCTACACTTATACATCCTGTCATTGTGATATTGTCCTGTGGTAATTTTTTGTTTTCTTTTCTTTCATTTTTGCTAATGTACTTTGTTTATATGCCTGTTTGTGTTTCTTTATTACATACGACGTGGATCTGTATTTATACATCCCGTCATTGTGTTATTGTGCTATGGTAGATTTTTGTATTCTTATCTTTTGATTTCACTAATGTGCTTTGTCTATATGTCTTTCTGTGTTTTCTTGTTGCACACCGTTAATTGGGAAATTTTGTCGTCGGAAATTTTTGGCGGTTTTCTATGGCATGTGTTTTATTTTGGTGTGTGTAATTTAGGTGCTTCGTCTAATTGATTGGTGTAATTTTGGAATAACAGTATTGAGCAGGCTCATTCATATTTGCCTTTATTTATCCGTTTATTGACAAAATAGCATTGAATTTTTCAAACTTGAAACACGACAAAGTTAGCTTAATAAAGGATTCGGATACAATTGCATACAATTTCGTATATCGTGGTTCAAATCTGAGAGAAAATATGAAATAAAGTCTTAAACATTAAGATCACTTTTAAATAGATTATTTATTTTTTACAAATATCATATGAAATAATTTTTATCATCTCCGTTGTAGTACATGTTAATCTATTGACGATCAAGGATTTAAATTCTAATCCGTATGCCTCTGACAGTACATGTTAATTAATTGAAGATAAAGGATTACAAGAAGTTTTAATTCTAATTAACAATCATAGCGTATAATTAGCAATAGCCTGGCATATTTATGACATGTGTGAATACAAATTCATGTTGTGTTTTCTTAATAATTTTTAGAAAATTGACAACTAAATAAAAATCATATAGTGTCGTTGTCAAATTGTACTAGGTATGTATTTGCAGATTTGGCTATGTATAGAATTGTTGGAAATATACGGAAGATATAACAACATAAATATTTTCCCAAACAATTAACATTACGATTCTCGTAACGGTATGCGATTTTGGCGTTTCAATTATTAGTGTTTGCTTAATTTTCGTGTGTTTAATTTTGACACTTTCAGAGGAGGCAGCAAATAAGCCAAAATCAAACTACAACCAAAGTAACACAGTTTACGGTAGTTTTTTGTTTTATAGTGATTATGATTATTACACAATGTTGACTGCTGTACCCTATTTTTAACTATTAAATCTGGTTTCTTTTGTTCACACACTGTTGTCAGTATAGAGGAATTGTATGCGGCTGTCATACAAATGAGAGGTTTAGCTAGCTATAAAACCAGGTTTCATCCACCATTTTCTTCATTAGAAAATGCTTGTAGCAAGTCCGGAATATGACAGTTGTTGTCCATTTGTTTAATGTGTTTGAGCTTTTGATTTTGCTGTTTGATTAGAGACTTTCCGTTTTTTGAATTTTACTCGGAGTTCAATTAATTGCCCCAAGTCTAGTAATTTTTTAAATGCATTTTAAATTACGTTTATTAAAAGTAATTACTAAATTTGCACCTCCAATTATACTTCATGCCAATATTTTGTTGGGGCTACTTTGGGACGAAATAAACTTAATTACTTCATAATATCGGCACGCTTTAGTACATATTGGTTCTTGCTTCTCTTTATAAACCCGTATGTGATATTTCGATTGTTATACCTTTGGGTTTTATATTAAGTTACAATGTTAATGGCAATTTTGTATAAACATTAGTTGCAAATACAATAGTATAAGTGTAAGACTCATCTGTATCTCCTCAGGGACCCCAAAGGGATCGAGACCCGGATCATTGACAGAATAATCATAAACGGTAACACTATACATTTTGCTAAAAGACATATGATATAAATGAGAGGATGTGGTATGAGTGTCAATGAGACAACTCTCCGTGATTTTTGTGTTTCCTGAAATAAAATGTTTACAGGAAAACATTTATAAGTTTACCATTTTCCGAAGAAGGAGATTTTGATACCATCAGTGGAACAACAATCACTAGCGTCAGGACTACACCACATATAAAAGCAAGTATTGGCCACTTGTGCTGCTTTGTTCTAATGAATATGTCTCTGGTAGA